GTGTCAGCCCATTCCCATTGTTGTTCTGCTTTTTCTGTCCCTTACAGTAAATAAGTTTATCTTGTCTTTGTCAGTTGATTGGTGCCAATTGAACCCTAAAACTCTGTGATCCAATTAAAAACATTATCCTTAAGTCTCTGAATTGAGTGATTGTTATCCCTACTATTAACTCTGACATAGAGAGTAGATAAATGGAAGGGCTCTTCAGGGATGTTGTTGATCCCCTTATGAATCTGTTTCTCAAGGTGTTAGTGAAGGGTACATTTTCTAGATAATCTCAGTGTGGAGGATAAAGTTTATCATGGTAAATCCATTCCAGCATTCTCGTTTCCTTGAGCTTATAAATTCCCTCATCAACAATAGACCTAAGTAATATCAGACATCTTGAATTATTCACAATGGGCCATCCTTTGATCCATATTTCTGCCAAGCAGACAAATAAACCATTATTACATTTCTTTAAAATGCCATGAACTGTAACATTAAATTGAAAAAAAATCTACACAATGTGCTAAAATCAGAAGACTCAGACCAATTTGTCTGTTTTCTTGCCACCATTACCCTGCACTTTTGTTATCAATTCTCATACTTGTATTTGTTCATTAGGTCTCTGCTTATAAGGATTAGAAAGCTGAAGAAATTCTTTGGGAGTATAATGCACATCCTCATTGCTCAAACTATGGGCATTACCTTTAGGCATCTTCTGTGATTTAAGCCTGGCTTAGAGGCAAAATGGGTGGTGAGGGTGGATGCTGAGTAGTTTCTGCACCACCATGCTTGGTCAACACAACGTTTGTTTGGTCAGGTATAGGAGTAGAGTGAGTGTGAGGATGCCTCCATCACTGTGGGTGTGAAAATCTGTCCCTCTGGCATAATAATCTCACTAGAACCTAAGAGCTCATTGTCCCAGCCTCCTCAGGATCCTCCCAAATATCTCTGCCCCAACTTACAGGATCCCATTCTTTTTCCATCAGTGTCCTTGCCTTTACTTCAAATACCCTTTGAGGCTGAGCATTAAATTTATGCTGTAATCCATCCAATTGAATTATGAAGGTCCATGTTTGGGATTCTAAAATCTCAGCCCTGTGGTTAAAAGAGGAAATGGTCTCTTCTAAGACACATTTAGAAATTTTAGATTGTTTATGTGTGTATAGAACTGGAAATTTGAATCTTTGAGTCCCTAATTTTTCTCTATTAATTTGTTTTCATATTTAGAAGATTTAAGGTTTTTCTGTGCATGTTTTGAGCCCATTATTTTCTTCTACTACTTTGTCCAGAGATGCTAAGTCCAACCATTATATTTCTCACTCTCTTAAAAATATTCCAAAATATCTTATATAGAGTCAATAAATTCCTTATCTCTTGCAAGTGGTGACTTACAATAATCAAATAAATTTACAATGTGTATTATTTTAAAGAGTTTACACCAGGATTATCAGTACTCTGCACATTATCAGGAGACACTCTGCCATCTTTGGGTCTCATGAAATTAGAGAGTCAACTCCAGGAATCACTAAAGCTACTAAAGAATTTCATTATTAACATTCTATGTTTTTAGAGCCACTTTGGTATAAAATCTGCATCAGTCAGTGATCAGTATAAAACAAATTTAATAAAAGGTGAAGACTGGCACTCCTTCAAGAAATAGAGTGAGTATTCCTTCTTCTTTCCTATTTTTATTTGGGCTATTGCACAGTGCCACTTACACCCAGGGTGGGTTTTTTCTTTTCAATAAATCCATTCAGGAACAATACAAACTATGCTAAGCCAATTAGTTGGGCATTTCCTACCTAAGTTGACACAATGGTTAACTATCACACACACCTAAAGTATATTTAACATGGATTTAATGATATTGAAAAATGTCTTAAAATTTATATTAAGATTACATAATGATTTTCTAAATAATGAAGAACACAACAGCTATTGCCCTGAAATATAGTAGTTTACATACACATGTTGATGTAAGTCTTTCTGAAGTCCACACAGCCATTTTAAATGCTTTCACTGATACACTGTCTTATGAGATAAAAGGATGTGCTGTAATCTGTTACTTCATTATTATGACAATATTCTTTCAAAATTGTTATGATTCTCATCACATCATGTTAGAAAAAATTACCAGATAGTATGTGGGTGGAGACTGTGTGTTTGAAGTCCAACAATTAAGGTACGTCCAATTTTACTATTGATAGTTTACATTTTTGTAATAAAAACCAATAAGGTTTGTCTTATAATAATCCCTGCATGATTCCTGATCAAGATATATCATCTTGCCTAGGAAACATTTTCACTTGGATCCTTTGGAGAAAATTGGAATCTGAAATATGAGTTAGGAAATTAGTATTTTAAACATGTATCATTGTTCTGTTACTAAATGTATGGAGTATAAATCTATCCACCTCTTTCAACTGTCATGCTTGTTAGCAGTATTGATGGAATTAACCGTCTTCAAAACATTGGTGTACCTCTAGGAAATTTGAAATTTAAATATTTATTTATTGTGGTTTTCTTCAAATTGATCACATTATCTTCATATAAGTAGCATGTTTATTGCCAGATAAAACTGTGAACAGGCATTGGGGTGTAACATGATGAAAAATCCTAAATTATTCTTAAACCCATTGATACTACTACCCCTTCTCTTTATAAATATTTTAGTTTTACACCCAGAAATGTTTTTGTTATGATCTTTGAATAATATAATGTTGTAGCCTATGATAAGTGAAGATGCAAGCACCATGTGTCCTTAATATAAACACAAACAAGATCTGTTTACCTAGTTTCTAGCTACATCTGACATTCCTATGAATATTAGGTATGAAAATGTGGATAGGAAAGTATGTCTGTAGTAGCTACAGTGATTATGTTCACTTATTGTGAGCCAAGAAAGGTCTATTAAATGTTTAACAGAGATTTTTGCCTTTGATTTCTCCTGCATACCAGGAATGAGATAGGATCTGAGGAACCAGAAATGAAAAAAATTCAGTCAATCTTTTCCATGATAAAAATAGCAAAAAACATTCCCATATAGAAAAATGAGAAGAACTGCAGATAAGTCATTTTATTTGAATGGCATAAAGTTGAATCTTTTGGCATTAGTTTTATTAATAATATCTAAATCACATTTAGGCTCATATTATACCTATCACCTATTCATACAGGAGAAGTATTCATTATCTATTTAACCCACACTCAACACAGTTGTACCAACTAGAAATAAACTCCAATGACAATGCTGAGTCTCAGCTTTACAAATAACCTGCTGTATGTTACAGAATTAAGGGATGGAGACAGGATTCAAAATTAAATTGTCAGTCCCTGCTCTTGTTCAATAAACTTTTTTCTATATTTCCAAACCATCAGAATATTTCCAGCAGAGGTTCAGAAGTCTACATTAAATTTATGTCTAAGGAATGTTAAATTATTTCCAGGGTTCTGAGCAGGAATGAAATCAAATCCTGAGTTGATTTCTCTTCTTAAGACTGAGAAGAATGAATAAAAGACTGGAGGAGCATGTGGACAGATCCCAGAAAAGCCTGGAGTGCAGAACAAGAATGAGGTCAGTTCTAATCACTGTGGACCTTCTTAATGTGTGATCTTTACCTCTGATCTTAGAAATCCTCCCTAGAGTGACTGAAGTAGGTGTCACATAACCTTTGTCCTGTGATCCACTTGGCACTCCAAAGAGTAGAACATAGGGGAAAAAAGTCCTTCCTGGAGAGGCAGAGAAGAGAGATGGGTGTTTGCATTGTCAAAGGAACCATGTGCATGATTTGCCTGATAAGATGACCTCTGTGTGTTTTCAGACAGTCTTATGTAAGCACATCTTTTCTACCCAACACCATGTAATTAATTATAAATACTGTACCCCTTTTTTACTTTTAAATAAAATGAAATAAGAGCATATCCTTGAGAATCATTGTACAAATAAAATGAAACTATTTACAGGAGCACAGAAGTGAGATGCTGCCATTTACAATACTCTCAATATGGTTCAACATGGTGTGATTGACCTCATCATTATATTCATAATCCTTTTGCCATGCTGAGTAAGCAGTTTTTAGACGGCCAAAACGTGCAGTCATGGATTAGATATTCATAAGGAGAAGGACCAGAGTATAAAGAAAAAGAAAAACTACTGAAATGTCTAGTTCTCTATGAAAATCGAATATAAACTTCAGGGTTCTCATAGCTGAAACTGGCCAATCCAATCAGCCTCTCTTACTACCCACTTTCATGTATATGTTCATGATAAGAACCAATGGTTACAATAGTCCTTTATCCATCCATCCTCTCCCTAAACACCTACTGAGTAAGGCTGTGGCTCCACTATGTTATTTCTAAAACTATGAACTCCATGACACTCACCTGCCTGAAAAACAGAGCTTTAAATCAACTCAGGGAATCAGTCATGTCAGATATGGGCTATTTCAGGAAATCACGAGGAAGAGATATAGCAATGATCCCAACTAGAACAGAACAATCAAAATGAAAGCCTGGAGGACTGGATGAGTGCGGACTATTTTATGACCTTGGAGGCTCATTGTACACAGTTAATAGCCACCTAAATTGAATCATGTTGTTGCCATCTCTAACTTCTGCTAATAAATGACAGTTAATGAAAAAAAGAGAAAATGAATTTCCAAAAAAGGCACTGTGTTCTTCCTTTACTCAAGAAGAATTTCAAGTGTACTGTTTAGTAGTTTATTCCTTAAAAAATAAAACTCCAGATTGGAAGTGAGAAAGCACCCCTGTAATCCCAATACTTTGTAGGCTGAGACAGGAGGATCAACATGAACTCAAGGCAAGAATGGGTTACATAGTGAGTTCAAGGCCACAGTTAAATATATAGTAAGTCCCTGTGTCCAGACAAAAGTCCTCAAATTTTATTTCCAATCAGCCACGATGCTAATATGAAACAACAAGCATGTAAACTAATGTGACCAAAGAGATAGCATTTATAGATAAATTTGCAGTGTATAATTTCTTCCCTCCCTTCACCCCCTTAATTTCTCTATATTTTCAAACTTAGATTCCAAATGAATGTCAATTGTCCTGGGATTAAACCCTCCAACTAAGGAGCCTCTTTGGGTTCTGCTAATTTCCCTGTTCCTCAGGCTGTAGATGAAGGGATTCAGCATAGGGGTGACCCCAGTGTACATCAATGAAGCCACGATGCCCTTGCTTGGAGAATATGACACAGCTGAACCAAAGTAAGTTCCAATAGCTGTGCTATAAAATAAGCAAACCACTGACAGGTGAGAACTACAGGTGGAAAAGGCTTTGTACTTCCCACCAGATGATGGTATTTTGAGAATGGAAGAAACAATTTTATAATAAGAGAAAAGGATCCCTAACATAGGAACAAAGCCAAATATGGCACCACAAAAATATGTGACCATAGTTTTAATTAACATATCAGAACATGAAAGGTTAAAAATTTGAAAAGGATGGCAGAATAAATTAGCAATTTCCACATCTTTGAAGCAGGTAATTTGTAATGCAACTAAATTGTGCAACTGGGAGTCCAAAAGGCTAAGAAACACAGAGAGCAAAATAAGTAAGACACAGAGGCGAGGGTTCATTATCACTGCATAGTGCAGGGGATGGCAGATGGCCAGAAAGCGGTCATAGGCCATTACAGTCAAAAGCATGTCATCCATACATATAAATATCATAAAAAGAGACATCTGTATCAGGCAGCCAACATAGGAAATGAACCTGCTGTGAGTTATGGTGTCCACAATCATCTTTGGTACTGTAGTGGAGATGAAACAGATGTCAACAATAGACAGGTTGGAGAGGAAGAAGCACATGGGGGTGTGGAGGTGGGAGTCAGAGATGACAGCCAGGATGATGAGCAGGTTCCCAAGCACTGTGACAAGGTACAAAGACAGGAATAGTCCAAGGAGGACAGGCTGCAGGTCTGGGTCCTCTGAGAAACCAGTGAGATGGAATTCTGATATAGAGGTTAGATTGTGTGTTCCCATATGCTTCAATACCTTTTAAAATATTAATTGGAAAAAATGAAAGCAATGAATAACACATAAGACTCTCTATATGTAATAAATTCATGTTTTTGCACGCAAAGTATTCCCATGTGGTTTCTAAAACCTTTAAACATAAACACATTGTTTCATTGTGAAAACCCTATTCTCAAGAACTCTTACATTATTAGTTTATTCATTATCCACCTTGTTCTGTACACTTTTTTTTAAACCAGGGATTGAACTTGGGTCCTTGCGTTTGCAAGGCAGGCCACTGAAATGCTGAGCTAAATCCCTGGCCCCGTACACTCTTACTTTGCATTCATTTTACAGAGTTAGAACACAAGAGCTCATAATTCTCTGATCCCATCAAAATACACCTAACTCCTAAAAATATAGATGATCCTATTAAAAGAAAACTAATAAGCATTCACATATACATTATTCTTAAAAGTGGTACAAATTCCTTTACATAAGTTGTATGTAATTACTGTAATATCTAGGTTAGCAGGGCCTAAATATTAAAGTTATTTTTCATAATCAGAATAAATGGTGTTGAGCCATTTATCTCCCAGGAATTTGTCTTCATTCTTTCATTTTTCTGGTGTTCATTTTTCAAGAATGTTAAAGCTCCAGCAGACTTTGTTTTTTATAAATTATTTAATATGTAACTACTATTTACATCTATGGTGAACTCAAATTTGAATAAGCAAGTTCAAATGCCTGTATATAATTATGATGGATGTACCATTAGTGTATACTGTTCTTTTCAAAGATTAAGAACAGTAAGCTATAAGGAGCATATTTGACATTTAAAATTTTATATAGATTTACATTGATCTTTTCCTACAATATATATCTACCATTTAAGATGGTGCTGTTTTATCTTTTCTTTTTTTTTCCACATTGTGTTTATTGGTACATTTTAGGTATACAGTACAGTTACATTCATTGTTGGGATCTTGTACCTTTGTTTTTTCTTGATCCAGTGTTCTATAATAGCATGCTGATAGGCTTATTTTTCTAATCATAAATGCTCTTATGACCAGTGGCAGAATTAGAAAGAAAAAAAATTCCATTGCCAAGGCTAACTTTAAACCTTGCTAATTCTAATTGTCAGATTTTTTTGTCAAGATACATGTTTTACATTTTTCTTTCTCAATTTAGTAACCTGCTAGTAAACCTGACACTATTTTTTTGTTTGTTTGTTTGTTTTTGGAGGCAGAACTATAATTCAATTGTAAAAAAAGACAAATAAGTGTATGTGAAATAGTGTAAATATACCTGTAATTAATGTAATTCCACCTTACCTGTCAAATGGGGATAACAATCACCTGTCTTATATAGTTGGTAGAAAAATCTATTTGCAAACATTTAATTTGAATCTCTGGTGACCCTACTATATATACATATATGCTGGAGATTTAAATATCCAGACATTCTAGACTCACAACATGAATTTATCATGTTGTGATTTATTTTTATTTATTACCTATATTTTTACTTTTTTGATTATTCATTTACCCTAGAGTTGAGGAACACTGTTTTAGAATATTTCCTGACATTCAGAATATTCTCCATTAATATTACCTCTCTATATGCTTATACTTAAAGATATATTGTTTCCATCACAAATAATATTTTTAGAGATTTGAACTATTATCTATGAAATTTGAACTGTTGTATCTCTCTATAGTTCAATTTTCTTATATACCTATGCTCCAAGGAAGTTGCCATCATGAATTTCATGAGTAGATTTTCCTGTCAAGGTTTTCAGGTTAGTATTGATTTATGAACTCACAAGGTATTTTTCTTAGAAACTTACTTCATATAAGTCATGCACAACACAGAACTTATTGCTTATGAAACAGAGGCTCTTTCATACACAGGAGGTTTTAAGACTTCACAAAGTAATGAAAACCCATTACGTGGAGACACTTGATATAAATTGTAAATTTATTATTAAGACAATTTGTTTAAAATTCTTCTATCTCTCTTCCTGTCAAAGAAGTTAAGATGCACATACAGTGTAATATATTAGTGGGAAATACTTTGATTTCCAATGAATAATATACGAAAAAATACTATTTTTCCAGAAAAGTCAATTTTAATCACTTATAATCTTTCATTCTTGAGATAAAATTTCTGAATATCCCTGGAATCTGTCCAGTTATTAACTCTGTAGGACAATACACAAGAGATTCCATCATCTTGGAGAAAACATATATCTAGTTTTGTACAGTCTTCAGCTCTGGAATGGAACTAGGGAGATTAACAGCTAGGTCCCCTGTCATTGACTGGTTGCACCATGCATGACATGTGTGGATTTGCTCTCCTCTCCATGCTCACACTGTATGAGGAAAGTAAAGAGAGCAACACCCATCTTCATGTGTGAGGCAACTAAAGGAAGTTTGGAATACAAGTAGGCAGCCATTGTAAGTTTTGTTTTTAAAATAAAGAATTACATCATTATGTCAATAGGAACTTTACCTATGAATACTTCAATTGTATTCAAATCGCACCACAGCCCAGAGTGATATGAAGTTCTATAATGCATCATACAGTGAGGCATACATTCACTTGCTACCTTCTCTTTGTGCTTTTTTAAACCCATTATGAGTATCTCTGCTCTGTTTTGAATAATGGATATAGATGCAGTAAAATGAATTACAGGGACCACATGTCCATGACAGAGACAAAGAAAGCTATTAGTTTGTTTCTTCACCTATAGAACATTGGTGAAGAGAAATCACATGAAGACAGAAATGTGCCAACCATTTTCACATCATGCTGAGTAAGGACAAGCATTTTGACCTAAGGTAATGTCCATTCAATGTTTAACACATTTCCTTTTTTCATACTTCCTCTTGCCAAACAAGTCTTAGGCTCTAGAGAATCTGTAAAGATGACTCTACATGATTCCTTTCCAAACATATGCATATAAAAACAGAAAGACAAAAATAAAATGTCTTGCTACAAAAATAGGAAAAGAGTAACTTAGTTCACAGGACATAATTGATATAAAGATTATCCTCATAATTAAATATAATGATAACTAAATTTTATTTTCCTCTAATTGTATGTACAGTAGCTCCATATATGAATAATCCATATCTGTGTAATATTTTGTGCAGTTGTTTCAACTAGAAAAGAGCACTGATAACTAATAACAATGCTACCTCAGAAATGTTAAATACTTTTGGAGCTCCATAAAAACAAGAAATAAACCTGAAAATCAAAAAATTAAATGGATCGGTGCTGTCCAATACAATACATTTTTTCATTGTTTCCCAACCTGCAAAAAAAAAAAAATTGAAGTTATTCGGAAGTCTTCACCACAAGTGGCATCTAAGTTACATTTTCAACTCATATCCTAAATGGAAATAAAAGGGAGGCTTGACATAGCCCCATTTAAGTTTGTGTCAAAGAAAGAGTATTTTGCAGTGGTGACAGGAAAGTTATCTGAATTATCAAGTGTAAATTATATAATCTTTGCCCGAGATCTGTGTCTGTCCATCATCTTCTGGATGTAGCAGGTGCCACCCACTGCTCTGGGATGTATCAAGAACCCCCCAAAAGGAAGAGAGAACTGAGCAATGGTCTTTTCCTGAAGCGACTGGAATATGGCATGGTTGGTAGTGTTAAGGGGACAACCTGCTAGGATTGCCTGAGTCTATAATCACACAGCCCAAATCAAATGTGACTTAACAATTTTCACCTTAATAGCCTACTTCAGATTTCATTAAAATAACAATTGTTTCCATTTTCTTTAAGCAGTAATAATGTGGACACTTACAATTGCAAGAATACAAAACACATGAAATGAAACCAGCTGCATAGAACACATTGCTCAATGCATGGAATACAGCAAACCCACAAAAAAGTTCATAATTGCTGCTATCCTACTCTTCATTATCTTTAACAGCATCTTTTTCCTCCTTGTGGGGCACTTAAGGAACACTGCAAAAGGACAAATTTTTGCTTCTATGAGTGAAACTCTAATGTTAAGTAAAAATTGGTTGTGTAGAAAGCAAATTTGAAATAATTCTTCTTTCCTCATTAAGACAAGATTAATTTCCATTCCTCATAACTAATAATTTTAATATTTATACATTCCCATGTGACTATTCTGTCATTTTTTCCTTATGATAAAGAAGTAACACTTCAAGTCTCCTTCCCACTTCGATGAGTTACCTCTGCACTTACTGGGTGATGCTGTTTCTATGCTGGATCATAGGCAAGGAGAGCAGATCCAAAGACCCTGCTATGTCTGCTGCTCAATGAAGCCTACGTCTCTGTCCTCAATATTGAAATTAATGCAAAGTCAGGTAGGAGCTTCCTGATGCAGACAACCACAGAAACTGAGGCCCAGGCCTGGGACTCACTGGACTGAAGTCATCAAACTGAAGGGTTGGAGGCACAAGCTCATTATGGGCTACTATATGACTTTGTAGGTTCAATGCACAGGCACATAATTAGCCACAATGGTCCATGCCATCCAGATCTCTAAGGACTCCATAAACTAATGGAAAAAGGAGATCCCTGGAAAATAATTGTCCACAGAGTTTCTTCCTTTACTTAGGTAAACCTGGTGTGTCTGAACCACTTCTGTCACTTACTTATTATTTCTAAATGTCCATCGACATTTGTTTCACTTTGTAATCGTGTACACATAACAAAACCCTCACACTTTAACCATGTTAAGTATTCATTTCAATGACTTTAACTGCATTCACATTATTTTGAAACACTGAACATCATATAAATTCAGAATATTTTCATTTTCAAAGCTGAAATTGTATACTGGATTTTGAAAGAATTCTTTATTATGTCCTTTTGTTTTGTGTGCAGTTTTTCTTCTATCATCTGAAATTGTTATTGAAACAGCTGAGGGAGATGCTGCATGATAGGAAGAGCACAGGAATCTGAGTGATGGCTCTTACACAGCTGTGCTAGATCTTCTGATTTCAAGGGTTGTTTTCAGGTTAACAGGTACTGATTTGGTTTTGTAATACATCTGTGCCAATCTTTCTGTACTCTATCCAATGTTTCATTTCTACATGTAACTCCTTCTATTTTTACTTTCTTTTCCTCTTCTACATTCTCAAGTGCCTGACTTTCTTTAGCTCTTTTACGTTACACCAATGCTGTCAGCACAATGCATTTTTCTTTTTTCCTTCTCTTCATTCACTCCTTCATCTTGTATTGATTTTATTAAGATCTGGGGTTAAAGGTGTGTTAGTACTCAGGTCCTTCCATTTTTCAGCTCTTAGGATAATATAATTCAGAATATTTGCAAAAGATAAAAGTCCTTAAGTTGATGCACAAAAAAACAGTCAAGAGTTATGCCATTGGTAATAGGGGGAATAATTTCTTTAAAAATTAAAATTTATTTAAATTGAATAGAATATAAACTCTCAATCTCATTTATCAATTTATGTGGTATAGTTTATCTGTATACCATGACATAATACCCAAAATTATTTTAATGAAAATATCTTCATCTGAAGTTCTCAATTTCATTTTATTAATAATTTCTCTGGTGTGGGAAACTGAAAGTGTATATCAGGATAAAAATGTATAATTGATAATGCTGATTTATTTTTTTGTAAAAGGGATTGAACTCGGGCCCTTGTGCTTGCAAGTCAGGTGGCAGATGCACTGAGCGAACCCCCTGGTCCCTGTTATTGATAATGTGAAATAGGAAGAAAAGGTCTAAAGGGGTAGAGGAAGTGGGAGGGGTAAGGAAAGAAAAGAGGGAAAGGAAAAAATATGAGAAAAGAAAAAAAATGAAATAAAAGTCTGTACATCAAGAGGGCTAGTGAGGCTGAAGGGAAGAAAGGGAAATGGGGAAAACTTAAGAACCCAAATACCCCAGGTAAAGATAAAAGTTCCCAATGATGAACTGGGAATTGTATTGTATACCTAAAATGTACCAATAAGTTTATTGAACAAATAAAACAAACCAACAAACAAACAAAATTGAGAACCCCTCTCCTTTAAGTAGATCCTGGCATTTATAAACAGTGATTTTATTTTGCATGTTATTATTATAAAAATGACAATTTGAAACTGTAAACATTTAATATCTGCTTCATGATTAATATTTATCATCATTTGAGTAATTACCTGTGCAATATGAGTTCTTCATGTCTGTATGATTTCATTCTCCTACATTCCTCACTCCTGGAGAGCAACTCCTGTCAGGAATTTAGTGGGTAGTTCTTCCTATCTATCTATCTATCTATCTGTACCATAACTTGTTCCCAAGCAACTAAAGCTCATTTAGGTAGTGTACATTTCCATCCCTCTTGCTTTTGAGATTTATTAGAGTGTGTTAACATGCCTATTTAACTCTCTTTGAAATCCATACATCTATACTTCACATGCTTTACCAGACCCATAGCATTGCCTGATAGCGGGATAATTTAATTTGTAATTTTGTTCGGTAAATCTCTGCAACATTCTTTCTCCACATCATTCAAGGGAAAATTTCTAGCCCATTTGTGGGAAAAGAATAGCTGTGTGAGCTTTACAATCCATGCATGTGCCATTTTACTATAATGACCTACATATTTTATCTCAATAAAATATCAGTAATTACCATATAAATTAGTTTATAATCAAAGTCTTTGTAAATCATGTAAATCTTCATTGTTTTTTTTCATGGATTTTAGTGTTTCTGTTTTAATATTTATATATTTAATCCACTCCAAATTTAGTTTAGTGCATGGTGAAAGACAGGGGTCTAGTTTTAATCTTTGCTAAGTTTAAATCCAGTGTTTCAAATACTATTTATTAAAGAAGCTATCTTTCCTCCAGTGAGGATGGTTGAATAATTTATCAAAGAAGAGGTAGCTGAGTACGTCTGGAGTTGTTTTTGCATCTTCTAATCCATTCCACTAATCCTTGTGTCTGTTTCTTTGCCAGCGCCATGCTGTTTCTAATCACAGTTGCTTTGTAGTATAGTTTCAAGTTAGTTTTCTTGTTCTTTATGGCTGAATAGTTCTCCATTTTATAAAAATAACACATCTTTTTTATCCAGTCTCCAGTTGATGCGCAATTGGGCTGTTTCCAAGTTTTAGCTATTAAAATCTGTTCCATTATAAAAATGGGTGAGCATATATAGGTGTGGTATAAGTCTCTTATTTCTTTTGGAAAGATGCCCAACAGAAAAATAGCTGAGTCAAATGGGAATTCTAATCTTAGTTCTTTGAGGTATCTCCATATTGATTTCTACAGTGGTTGTACCAATCTGCACACCCACCAAAAATGGAGAAGGCCTCCTTTAATCAAAATGGCCATACTTCCAAAATTACTATACAGATTCATTGTGATCCCAATTGAAATCCCAACAGTATGTTGCATTGAAATAGAGAAAACAATCCTAGTGAGAAATCTTTAGTTCATAGAACTGAAATCCTTGAAGGATTATTTATTTCACTTGAGTATATCCTCGATATGTATCCATTTTCCTATGAATGAAACTAATTTCTCATTCTTTATGGCTGAGCAGTATTCCATTTTATAGAAAAATCACATCTTTATTCAGTTTCCAACAGATGGGCAAATGGCCTGTTTCCAAGTTTTAGCTGTTACAAACTGTGCCGCTATAAACACTGGTGTCCATATATCACTGTGGTATGATTCTTTTAATTCTTTTGGAAAGATACCCAACAGAGGGATGGCTGGGTCAAATGGAACCTCTAGTCCCAGATCTTTGAGGTATCTCCATATGTCCTTTCTTTTCTAACTCTGCCTTATTTGTACAAAATAAAAAACAACAATAAACTGGAAATTTTTGGATAAACTATTCTAAAAACGTAAGTAGAATGATTAATTTAGAACTCTAAGATTCAGCAAAATATGACTCACATATGTAAATACCAAATAGTTTCTCTTCTGTGAAAAACTATAATAGTACACAAGGTCCTAATGAGAAAATTAATAATGTGAAATAGGAAGAAAAGGGCTAAAGGTGTAGGGAAAGTGGGAAGTGTGGGGGAAAGGTAATAAGGGAGAGGAAAAATATGAGAAAATGTAAATAAAGTGTTTGAAAATGGGGAGGGGAGAAGGGGATGAAAGGAGGGCAGGGACAAGGGGAGAAATGAAAATCAAGACCTGTCATGTAAAGGTACAGGATCCCAATAAGGAATGTAGCTGTATTGTATACCTAGATTGTACCAATAAACTCAAATAAAAGAAACAAAAAGAAATCATTGAAGGCATTTTTATGACCTCATCTATTCCAATTGCCATGTTCTTTTTTGATGCTGTTGCTTTTGGACTTTATTTTTTCTCTCATTGAAATTTATATATATATATTTTTTTTCTTTTTTTTATGCCATTATCCTCCTGCCCTCCCATCCAACTTCCACATTCCATTGCCATATCTGAAAAAAGAAAAAGAAAACCCTTCTTTTTTGTTTTCTGTCCCTCACCTTTATTTTATTCTTTCTTTTATGATTCAGGTTTTTCACATAAGGGATTCCATACAATGACTGACTTATTTCACTTAATATTATAATCACAAGTTCCATCCATTTGTCCACAAATGACATGATACCATTCTTCTTTAAAGCTAAATGGTCTTCCATTTTGTATACCACACTTTTTAATCCATGCATTATTGCTAGGAAATATTTAAAAGTGAGTTGCATATACACAATGTATGCATATACTGAAATATCACAAGGAACTTCAGACATATATGTACAATTAAACATGTTAACAAAAATAAGATTTCATGAGTGTGTGTCTGCACTTCCTACTACATGGGAGTCCAAGTCAGGAGGACTTAAATTTGGAGTACAGCCTGGGCAACTCAGAGAGATCCTGTATCAAATTTAAAAACTTAAGAAATGTTTGGTATAGCTCACTTGTAGATCACTTGCCTAGCCTGTGTGAACTACTGGTTATTAAAAAAAAGTTTTATGAAAACAGAAAATCAGAAGAAATTCATATAGCTGAGTAGCCTCTTGAGAAGTAGAAAGTCCCAGAAATTACAAAGAGAGCTGATTTTTCTATGTTCTTGTTCCACCAATGTTAACAGGTCCTCAGAGACTAAGCTATTGTGAACCAATTTATCTAATTATGAGCTGTGCACATTGAGCTCTCAAACCCACACAACTGTAAATAACCAGCCCATGTCCTCCAGCCTTTCACTTTGCTGGTTCTTGTCTAGTAGGGTGTGTGCATCTCCTCTCTGCATTGTCTGCCACAGTGGGTCTGAATCTGTCTTCCTGCCAGCTCTGAGGAAAGCATCCAACTCTATTGATCATCAGGCAGGGGACAGGCGATGATGGACCATTACTTCTTTGTTATGCTGAGGTATAGAGTTAGCACAAGTCGGTGAGTGCTATGGGAGAGACCAGAGGCAGGAGGGACTCAGAGAACACTGCTTCTTTCTCACTTTGTAAAGTGGCTAGAGTAGATGGGTTGGAAGACCCCTAAGTGCAAAGGTTTAAATCAAGACAAAGGAAAATTTTTAACAAATTATATTTTACATTAAGAATTAATTGACATAATAACTACATATTTTGGGCACCAGTGATAATCTGACTCTTGTATACAACATATAGTCATCAGATTTTGAAAATTACCATTCTCAGTTCTGTAAATGTTTGCCATTCCTTGTTTTTGAAACATTTGAACTCCTTTCAGTTTTAATAACATGTACAGTTAATTGTCATAAGCTATTGTCACCCTCCTGTGCTCTAGAACACTGGAATATGTTCCCTTATCTAACTGAATTTTGGTACCTGTTATCCATGCTCCTCCTCATCCTACCTATTACTTTCCAGCCTATAGTGTTCATGATTTTACTTTTCAGTCTTGATTCTGTTCAGGATGTGAGAACCCTCATTTAGAGTTCTGTTTTCTTCCTACTCTGGTTCTAGCTCCCTTGGGCATATCTCTGAACAGAGTAAGAAATGAGTCCCTTAAACTGTCTCCTAAATGATTCAGAATGATCATGAGTGGTGATAAGGATGAAGAGGATTAGCATGATGACTATAACTATAATGTTATCAACTTTTATCTAATTTCCCCAAGTGCCAGTCTCTCTATGCAGTTTATCTAATTGCATCTGCATAACCACTTTCAGGCTATAAACGCAAACATTGTTATTACTTTACAGGAGGAAAACATAGGGCTTTCTCATATAACTTGCTACATATCCTGGGATGGAACTGGGCTGGAGCCAGGGTTGAATCAAACATTCTCACTGCAGAGGCAGGGCAGCTGCCAAGGTTCTCCTGTGGCAACACAAACAGCAGCCTCTCTTGTCTGTCACTGCAGCAGATACTCCTAGCTCACTGTACTATTTTGAGGGGTTCCTGGTAGACCTCTGTGGAGAAGAGTAGGCGCTCCTTGCTACTCTAAGCATGGGCAAGACACCTGAGATCGCAAACAGGAATAACAGAAAGAGCTCACAACAATTCAGGGCATACTTCTTTCTAATACCTACTGCTGAATTTCCCTTTAGTTTCCCATTTCCTCTCTCATTCTTGAAATTCAGCCTTTCTCCATCTCAAAGGGAGAGTTCCCAAGGACTGACTCAGATTCTGCTTATTCTTAGGAAACTGAAGATTACTAAACGTTTTTCCATTGGTTGAGACCTGTGGGTCTATACTTTTAAATTTCTCAAGTTTAGCAAGCAGAATAAAAAAGCTTATTTTATGTGTCTCTGAGACAAAAATAAGTAAATTTGAAACTGTCACTCTACTTATTCTGTGCTTCTTTTTGAATCTCAATATTAGCATCACACTTGATTCCTAGTTGATAGTATGACAAGGAGTCATGATGAAATAATCAAAACTACTTATGAGATCAAGTGTGTGTGAATACATGCAAGGGAAATTAATTATTATTAATACAACACTCAACTAAAATATACTGTGATATGAAGATTTGGGTTTTTATTAATACATGTTTTTTGTACATAATGTCTACATTCATCATGGGAAAGTTTACATGTACATAAGGCATCTTAAATCCTTTTTTCATTCTCTTTTCCTTCTCTCCCTACCCTCTCTATCCATCTGTTTTTAATAGATTCCAGGAATAATCATTATATTTTTACCCTTAAGTCTAATTTTGTATAAATTAATCTAGGAATTTGGAGGAAAATAAGTGACATTCTTTTCCAGTTTCTTAGAGTGCCCTTTACACAGATTTGCCTACAAAATAACAAATTCTCTGGTAAATATTGAACAGAACCTTCTATGGTTGACAGAACAAGTGTCATCTGTACCTTGGACATTGTGGTGTTCTTTTCTACATGTGCTTCCTGGTTTCAGGCATGTTCCATAGAATAAGAGACAAGATATAAGTCTGTTTTATGAATTCTCTGTGGAACTTTAAATTTTCTATGTCATGGAATGGACAACACTTACATTTTCAAAAACCCTTTCAGATATTTTCATAAACATGAAAAAGAAAGATGCAAAAAGAGAAAGTGTGTGTGTGTGTGTGTGTGTGTGTGTGTGTGTGTGTGTACTGGGGATTGAACAGTCTTTGCAGTACCCTTAGTCATATTTAAAATTATATTTATTTTATTCACTATTGTGGCTTGAATCCAGGGTCTTCACATTGAGCTATACCCCTAGCACCCTTTAATTAAAAAATCTTTCACAGGGCTCCACACATTCCTAAGTTGTCCTGGCTGGGGATGAAATTTTGTACTTCTTGCCTCAGCCTCTCAAAGAGCTGGTATTACAGACATGCAATGTCACAACTAACAGAATGGATAAATATCATTGCATGGATTGAGAAATATTTAAAGATTCCAAAGCATTCCATGCTCCAGTGCCCACGGTGAAGAAAAAGCTTTTCTCTCTGCCATGCAATCACATTCAAGTGTATTAAAATTGTTATGGGCTTGTATTTCATTAATCAACCTGGAATAAATTCCAATAATGATTCAAGTCTCATTACAAAACACTGGGCCGATATTTATGTTCACCTTCCTTAGGTGGCCTACCTGTCTAGAGATAACTATTTCCAGATAAAGAAAATTTGCACAGAGAGGCAGAGTGGCTTACACACCCTGCCTGGGCAATGTTTGTATAATGTGGGACCCACACTTTAGTCTGCTGACTGCAGTCTCAGGGCCTGTTCCCTCAGACAGAGATTGATGAGTATTTGAGTATTTTTCTTGTCATATTTGCTTGACTGCTACTGAATGCATCAAAGCACGCTATTGTTCATTCTTGACTGTGGGATTCAGTCAGTTCATCCATCACGCAGGAGAATGAATCAGTGGTTTGTAGGGGGCTTTTATAACATAAGAGTAGCAAGGGTTTCTATGATTAATAATGCTCTTTACAGACAAGTTTTTTTATTTTATTTAATTTTTTGTACAGCGGATTGAACTTGGGTCCTTGTGCTTGCAAGGAAGGCCACTAAACTGCTAAGCTAAATCCCTGGCCTCAAGTTCTGATGTCTGACAAATGGAACTATTACTATAATATGATCATTTTCACACTGGGTTATCTTGGAATGATTGATAGACAAACAGAATATTTGTCACTTTACAAGACAATGTAATTGATAGTAAAAACCATTTTTTCTATTGAGAAAATTAACATAGGCAATAAATCATAACACTGCACACACACTGGATTTTACCACTCCACAGCTATCAACCGCACAGTACCAAATAGGAAGTCTTAATTTTGTGACGAGAGAGAAAAGCTCATAATTTTTTAATTTAAATTGAATTTATTGGTACATTCTAGGTAGACAATACAGTTACATTCATTACTGGAATCTTGACATTACATGACAGGTCTTGGGTCTCATTTTTTCCTCTTGTCGCTACCCTCCCTTCACCCCCTCCTCCCCTCCCCACCTTCAAACACTTTAATTCCATTTTTTAATTTTCTCATTTTTTTTCCTTTTCTCTTATTCCCTTTTCCCTATCCTTCTCACAGTCCCTACACCTTTTGTCCTTTTCTTCCTATTTCACATTGCTAATTATCCCATTAGGATCTTGAGTACTATTGTACTTTTTCAAACGAGAGAAACTATTCAGTATTTGCATATGTGTGACTTATTTATTTCACTTAGGAGTTTATCCTCAAAATGTACACATTACTTATGAATAAATCTACTTTCTCATTCTTTATGGCTGAGTAGTATTCCATTTTATAGAAAAACAACATCTTCTATATCCAGTTTCCAACTGATGGGCAGGTGGGTTGTTTCCAAGTTTTAGCTATTACAAACTGTGCCGTGATAAACATGGGTGCACATATATCACTGTGGTATGATTCTTTTAATTATTTTGGAAAGATACCCAACAGAGGGATGGCTGGGTCAAATGGAACCTCTAGTCCCAGCTCTTTGAGATATCTCCATATTGACTTCCACAGTGGTTTCACCAGTCTGCACTCCCACCAACAATGGAGAAGGGTTCCTTTCTCTCCACAACCCCACCAACATTTGTTATTGTGTGATTTCTTGATAGCAGCCATTCTTTGTGGGGTGAGGTGAAATCTCAGTGTTGATTTCATCTGCATCTCTCGAATGACCAGTGATGTGAAACATTTTTTCATATATTTACTTGCTGCTTTTATTTCTTTGTCTGAGAAATTTCTGTTCATTTGAGATGCCCATTTTTGAATTGGGTCTTTATACTTGTGGGAGCTGATTGATTTGAGTTTTTTATATATTCTAGATAATAGTCCTTTGTCTGAGGAGCAGCTGGTAAAATTTTTTCCCACATTGTAGGTTGTCTCTTAGTTCTGTTGATGGTTTATTTTACAGTGCAGAAGCTTTTTAATAAGATGAGATCCCAGGTGTTGATTCTTTCTGCTAAATCCTGTCCTAATGAGGATTTGTTCATAAAGTCTTTTCCTATGCCAATTTCTTCCAGAATTCTGCCTAACTTATCTTCCAGCAAATTTAGTGTTTTTTTTAATATTTAGATCTTTAATCTACTTGGATTTTAATTTAGTGCATGGTGAAAGATAAGGGTCTCATTTTAATCTTTTGCAGGTTGAGGTCCAGTTTTTCCAATACCATTTATTAAAGAGGCCATCTTTCCTCCACTGGGGATGATCAGCTCCTTTGTCAAAGATGAGGTAGCTGAGTACATCTGGAGTTGGTTTTCTGTCTTCCAATCTCTTCCACTGATCCTCAGGTCTGTTTTTTTGCCAGTACCATGATGTTTTTATCACAGTGACTTTGTACTATAGTTTCAAATTGGGAAATGCTATACCTCTGCTATGTGTCTGTTGCCTAGGATGGCTTTTACTATCCTAGGTCTCTTATGGTTCCAAATGAATTTTTGAATTCTTCTTTCTAGTTCTGTGAAGTATAGTTTTGGGATTTCAATTGGCATTGCATTGAATCTGTATAGCAGTTTTGGTAGTATGGCCATTTTCACTATGGTGATTCTTCCTACCCAGGAGCAGGGGACAGCTTTCCATTTTCTTATATCCTCTTTGATCTCTTTTTTCAGAGTTCTGTAGTTTTCAATGTAGATGTCTTTTGCTTCTTTTGTTAGATTGATTCCTTGATACTTCATTTTTTGGATGCTATCATAAAAGGAATTTTTCCCTTATTTCTCTCTCCGTGAGTCTGTTATTTGTGTATAAGAAGGCTATTGATTTTTGGGTATTCACCTTGTATCCAGATACGCTACTGAATCTGTTAATTAAGTCTAGAAGTTTTTTGGTGGAGTTTTTTGGGTCTTCAATGTAGAGTATCATATCATCAGCAAATAAGGACAGTTTAACTTCTTCCTTTCCTACCTTTATTTCTTTAATTTCTTTCTCTTGTCTAATTGCTATGGCTAATGTTTCCAGAACTATATTGAAGAGGAGTGGTGAAAGTGCGCATCCTTGTCTTGTTCCTCATTTTAACTTGAAGGTTTTCAGTTTGGGGCCATTTAATATGATGTTTGCTGTTGGTTTTTCATAGATAGCCTTTTTAAGTTGAAATATAGACCATCTATTCCAATTTTTTGCAGGGGTTTTATCATGAATGTGTGTTGAATTTTATGAAATGAAAAGCTCATAATTTTGATTGATCATTGCCTAAGAAATTTCTCCCTTATGTGATGAGAGAAAAGGTCAGATTTTTGATTGATTGTTGCCATAAGAAATTTCATTGCAAAAATGGTGTTAAATTAAATGAAACTAATCCTCAGGAATTACAGTATTATGCATCAATTAAAGGGTTATGCTTCAATTTGTACACCATTGAAAGTGTTTATTTCAATGCTCAAGTAAACAGGAAGGCTGTTGCATAA